TATATGGCCTGAGGTGAGGCCAGAGCCCTGGCCGTATTGAACATTTCCGGACCGCAGGAGCTCAAAAAGAAACTGCACTTGCGGTCCACAGGCAGGTTGTGGTTGTTGTTGGCAATTAAAAAACATTCAAAACGCTCCAGGAACCCGGCCCAAGGCTCGCCGGCGGTACCAAATGGAGCGAAGGGTGGAAGCGAAGCCATGACCTAGCGTGAGGTAATCACCGTTCTCTTCAGAGACAGAATAAAAAATCTTCGCTCCCTTGTTTTTTATCTTTTCTAGCGCTGTTCAGGAAGGCACCTTCAGCATCCCATCCTCATCGCCAGTGTAAAAGTTCAAAGGATAGACGAGACATGAGGTGGCTGAGGTGATTTGAACAGCTATTTATTGCAAACACCAACAGATAACTATGTACAGATAGGATTCAGCACCTCGCCCTGCTTGACAGCTATTTATACGGGAGCTGTCAAGCAGGGCGGCCAATGGGAGTGTCTCTGGCAGCCCATGCTCAGCCAGCCACGTCTTAGCCAATCGGGCACGGCTAGGCTGTTGCCGGCTGCCAGTCATAAGTCGAGGATTTGCGGCCAGTCATAAGTCAATGAGTTTAGGACCGGTCGCAAGTTGAGGACTTAGCAAAGGTGAGTTGTTCCACTGGTTTATTGCTCTCACTACTCAAGGCAAGGGACTTTATCCTATCCCAGTGAAAGGTTTTGTCCACAGGCGCATAGAGATAAATGCCATCTACATACCGTTCAAAAGAAACAATCAAAAAACTCCAAAAAGGACACCAAAACATTTTCTCATCAGCAATTAACACCCATCTAAACAGAGATTAACACAAAGAATAACACTAGACCAACAATCAATCAACCCAATCAAGGAACTAATAACTCAGACAAATAATCAAGCAGTAAACATCGGCCTAATCAAGGAACCAATAAGAACACTTCCACCAATACTGATAAGCCAAGCAACCTATATATAAGCAGAGCCAGTTTGCATGGGAGCGCACTGGATGTGTGCTGCATGCGCATGTGCAGTGCAATGGAAATAGTTATACACATGCACAGAACTCAACAAAAAAGATGGTGGTGGCAGCGACCAGGGAATCGGTTCAGGGCGTGTCCAGCCTGGGTTGCTGCTACTGGTAGGAACCCACCTCTGAAGCAGAGTAATAAAAACACTTATATGCCTCTTCATAGTGCCTTAAAAGCATTGTCTGAATAGTTTACAGAGTAAAGCCTATTGCCTCCAACAATCTGGCTCCTCGTTTTATTGTCCCAGGAAAGATGGAAGGCTGAGTCNCTTCTTTGTGGCAACCCCTGAGATATTGGAACACTGCTATCATGTCTCCCCTAGTCCTTCTTTCTCTTAAACTAGACATAACCAGTTCCTACTATTTTTCATATGTTTTAGCCTCCAGTTCCCTAACTATCTTTATTGCTCTTCTCTGCACTCTTTCTAGTGTCTCAACATCTTTTTTACATCATGGCAACCAAAACTATATGCAGTATTCCAAGTGTGGCCTTACCAAGGCATTATAAAGTGGTATTAACATTTCACATGAAGCAGCTTTGGACATAGTAATTCTTAAATGAGTGCCATTAAGTAGCATGCTTCAGAAACAAATACTGCAAGAGATAATTTAACTGTTGCAAATGGGAAGGGAATTGTGATTTCAAGTCACACACACTACCTGCTCAATAGCCTGATCGATTTCTTCTTGAAGATACTCCAGAAAGTTTTCATTAAGGTCAATTAGCTCCTGGATATTGCTAAAAACCACCAACAGCTGTTCTTGTGTTAGGAGGCCAGCTGCTTGCATGGGGAGATAGAATTCCTCCTTGATGATGCGTAGGTCTTCCCCATAGCTAGCTTCAGTGTTGACAAATTCCAACACTGATTCTTTCCGTTCTGTCCTGCACTTCAGACACTTCTCACAGAGAATGGCCTGTTTCCTGTTTTGATTCTGGACATCTGTTTCCAATGGAAAATCTCTGCCACCACAGTCAGTGCAAGGTTGATGGGCTTCCCATGCCTGTAGAGATGTTAATGTTTCTGATGCCCGGTTCCTCCACTTCCTACTCAACACCTGGCTGATACCACTATCAGCTCGTTCCATCTTGGATGACCTAATCCTTGGCACCCCTCCAATAGTGGTGTCAGCATTGTCTCTCTCCTCATTCCCACCAGCAATTCCACTATCTGCGCTGAGACTGCTGACATTGCTCCAGCGGTGTTTGGAACGAAAGGAGCTGCTCAGGACATGGTGATTCTCATCAACATTGGTTCCATAGTTGACAGTGGCTTTAGTCAGTGCTGGACCTGAGCAGAGAAGCAAAAAGAATGGACATCACTATCTAGCAATAAAAAGGTTCATGATGCAGCATTATTTTCACTGGAATCTTGTAAATCACCTGACTAATTCTGCTCAGAAACTAAGCAAAATTAGACCAGCTTACTACTTTGGTGGGAACATCATCAAGAAATTTTAAGACTGTAAGATAAATTAGAAAGGTGGAAACAATTTTCAAAAGAAGGAAGTGATATGAGACTAAGAAAAAAATTGCAAAGATGTGTCCATGAATTCACCAGGAGTCAAGTTCAACCTGAGAGTATCTCTATTGTTACTATTAAGTAGAAGAAAATATATTTTTGTCATGTTATCTATAGCTAATGTCAGCCACTCTCTCAATGAGCAGGCCCCAACCTTGTGGGTACCAGGGACTGATTCCGTGGAGAGAGGTTTTTCCGCCGACTGGGTGTGTGTGTGTGGTTTCACGTGCTGCCTGAATCCCATTGATTGGTCTTCACTTGTTTGTGCAGCCCAGTTTCTACCATGCCACAAACCGGTGCTTGTCCATGGACTGCAGGTTGGGGACCCCTGTTCTAAACCAACACCATTTCTTTAGAAAATTAAATGAACTATGAAAGTTGGGCAAGAGAATCAGCCATTATTAAAGTAAATACACTCCAGTAGTTATGTGACTTGCTAAAAGGATTATCAATATTTGTAGCTAAGAAACTTAACACAACAAAAACCTTCATGACACTCCTAGTAGATAAGCATCCATGGTTGGACAGTCATACAATGCTTGGTGGATATCAAATTCTATTACTTTTGCAATCAAAAAGTACATTCCGATTCTAAACACCTCTGTTTTTAATTTGACCACTAAGAAAGAAAACTCTTATTTGCTGCATGACTCATCTTTGAAAGAATTTTCCTCTTCCTTATCCTAGTAAGTAGACTCCTCATTTGCTCCAGGTGCTCCTGTAGAACCAGTTGTTTCAGGTTTGTCTCTTGTTCTATATAAGATTAAATGCTAGACACCCGTGGTGAAATTCAGATTTTTTTTACTACCGATTCTGTGGGTGTGGCTTGGTGGGCGTGGCTTGGTGGGCATGGCAGGGAAGGATACTGAAAAATCTCCATTCCCACCCCACTCTGGGGCCAGCCAGAGGTGGCATTTACCAGTTCTCCGAACTACTCAAATTTTCCGTTACCGGTTCTCCAAAACCTGTCAGAACCGGATGGATTTCACCCCTGCTAGACACAGTGATGGCATTATCTTCTCTTTCTAATTACTAGACTAGGAGCAACTCCAGAACATGGCTAGTCGAAATGTGCAAAATTTCTGCTCGAGTTAGAGCAGAGGTCTCCAAACTTGGCAACTTTAAAACAGTCTGGTTGCGGGATTCTGGGAGTTGAAGACCACACGCCTTAAAAGTTGCCAAGTTTGGACACCCCTGATCTAGAGGTTTGTTACAAAGGGCAAGGAGTAGTGCCAAGTCAATTGCATCTATGTTTTTTTTCCTCTTGTAGACCTCTACAGCAAAGGTCAGTAATGCAACATTCTAAATGGTGTGTGTGGAAGCCATGAAATTAAATCTAAAACCATTTCAATCATTTAATGGTGAAACATTTCATGAAATCACAAAACTTCTGTGTTTTTGCCCTCATGACAGATGAACTCAGCATCTGGTGACAGATGGACAACAGTGCAGAAATGATTTGACATTGCCTTTTTCAGATGGTTTCTTCAATTCCCAAGTTAGGTTACAACTCTAGGTTCCAGTGGTTTCCAGCCCAAATATTAATCAAGTGCTCACGAATAGTTCTTTATCTTTGAAAACTATTATAGAAATAGCAATAGCACTTAGACTTATATACCACTTCATAGGCTCTCTAAGCAGTTTACAGAGTCAGCATATTGCCCCCAACAGTCTTGGTCCTCATTTTATTCACCTCGGAAGGATGGAAGGCTGAGTCAACCTTGAGCCAGTCAGGATCGAACTCCTGGAGTGAGCAGTGAATTAGCCTGAAGTACTGCATTCTAACCACTGCACCACCATGGCTCTTGTTATGTTTTCAAGATCAACCAAAGTCAACTACATGCTGCCATCTAGGCACGACAACCGTTATAAAAAAAGGAGTAAAAGATTAGATTTACTGGATTCTCTCTCTTGCCGGCGCTTCTGGGCATGGTGTCGGGCCGCTGCAGCTATCTTCAACTCCAGTTGTTTCCTCTTTACAGCATCTGTTGGCATTGGATCACTGAAATGAGGCCGTAGTCTACACTCCCGCTCAACTTTGGTGCAGACCGGGGTTTCGTAGGAGATGCCCGAACTCGATCTGCGGCAATTTGAGGTGGCGCTCTGGAAGGTAAAGAAGTTGAGTCAGAAGAAAGCTTTACACAGGATAGCCAATTACACTTTAGCAGGGATTCTCAGAGCAAGTTAATATTTGCCAAATTCACCGAACACGAGTCTGCCCCTTATATATGAATGATTTCAACGTTGTAATGTGGTCACAAAAGGAGAAGAGTTTGCATCACAATATTGCAATGCATATTTCTTCATTTGCTCCTCAATGCCCAGGTAGCAGCAGTGTCCATGATCACATCAAAGTGATGATATCTGTATCAAAATGCTCAAAAGAGATCAGTTAGTACTTAGTTAGTACTTAGAACATAGAATAGAGCTGGAAGAGACCTCAGAGGTCTTCAGGTCCAACCCCTTGCTCAATCAGGAGACCCTATACCAGTGATGGCTAACCTTTTTGTCGTCATGTACTGAAAGCGTGTGCACACACCTATAATATAATGCATGCACCCCCCTGCCTCCTGCACATGTGTACAAACCCCCGCATGTGCCCCACCCCCAGCGCTCTCCCCGCATATGCACAGCAGAGGCCCGAAGACCAGATGACTGGCGGGAGACGGGCGTGCATGCCCGGTGGAACTGGGCTGGGGCGCCAACTGGCATGCCCGCAGAGAGGGCTCTGCATGCCACCTGTGGCACACGTGCCATGGGTTCACCATCATGGCCAGGGGTGGGTTCCGGCAGCCACTACTGCCGGTTTGCTCATGTGCACACTTCACATGTGCATGCTTGAGGTACACTACACGCACGTGCACAGTGCAATTAAAATTGTTCTGTGCATGCGCAGAACTGAAAAACAAGATGACAACGCCGGGGCCTGGGGAACCAGGCCGCCAAACCACTACTGGTTTGGCTGAACCAGTCCAAACCGGTAGGACCCACCACTGATCATGGCCCTATACCCTTTCAGATGAATGGCTATCCAGTCTCTCTTTGAAAGCCTCCAGTGATGGACCACCCACAACCTCTGACAGCAAGTTGTTCCATCGGTTGATTGCTCTCACAGTTTGGAAATTTCTCCTTAGTTCTAGGTTGCTTCTCTCCTTGGTTAGTTTCCAACCATTGTTTCTTGTCTTACCTTTTGGTGCTCTGGAAAATAGTTTGCATCACAGAGTCTAAGGCAAGTGTCTAAATTACTCCATTCAAATCATGATGCATCCATTATCATTTGTGACCTGTTGCCCAAGCCAAGTAACTCACTGTGGATTGATGACAGTCTTCCACAAAAGTGTGATTTGCTTTCTGAACTTCACAGGATTTGGGGGAAGGGAGATCAAGGGTAGTTTCAGCAGTGCAGCTGTGAGAAAAGGGACAGAATCCAATTAATACCATTCACAAAGTAGAGAACAAAATACTCAGTTGGAAATATATAACTGATTTACATTTAACTAATTAACTAATTAACTGTGCCAGGGAACAAATAGTTGTATTCAAAATGTAAATTCATTTGTACTGACTGAGGAAACAGTGAATGCTTTATCTCTCCCTCCTGTACAGGTTATTTAAACAAGTTACCTCTGGTGATATTACTAATTGAAATTATGGTAATTTGAAAAAGGTAAGCTCCTTAAGATAGAATGGTAACAAACTAGCTCATATTCTCTTCCTTTGCTACTCTCGGATATTTTATTTATCCTGAGAAAGAAGAAACACTTCCCTTCCATCATTACAAAGTGCTCCCTAAATCATGGAGATGTCACATATAATTCCTCATCCATAAATTATGAGCAAACAGTTACCAATACCCAAGGCATGGAAGACTAAGGGTAAGAGAGAGGAACCCCTCAGATTAGAACTGTAGAAATAATAGGAACACTTAATAAATATTCAGTTTTTACATTACATTTAGATTTTTTAAATTTTAATTTAAAAAAAAAAACTCAGGGCAGCAAGTTTATCTAATATTTGTTCCTCCAGCCTGGGTTCAGGAGAACCTGTAGGTTATGGCCAGTTCAGAGAACGTCCAAATCCCACCCCTGGCTGGCCCCGTCCCACCCACCCACCCACCCTGCCCCTGCCACCCCACCATGCCCCTTCTAGGAGTCTCCACGCAGCCCGTTTTAGATTCAAGGTAAGTGCAGGCCCGAATGGAGGCTCGGAGAGGAGGAAAAATGGCCTCCCAGAGGGCCTCTAGAGCCCAGTGAAGGAAGTTTTCGCTCTCCCAGGGGCTCGAGGAAAGCCTCTGGAGCCTGGGGAAGATGAAAATACCCCCCCCCCCCCGGTACAGGAGGCAGACTAGGCCACACCCACCATGGCTACCCAGCAACCGAGCAGAGAACCTGTTGCTGAAATTTTTGAAGCCAACCGACTAGAATTCACATTTCCCTGCTTTCTAGCCTGGGACCTTAACTTCTACATTGAACTGGCTCAATTCATATTTATTATTTCAATAAATATTGAAGAGCCTTTCCAGATGTTAGAAGTGTATCCTTCACTGACTTATTAAAAGGATTCAGATACATCATTCCTTTTTGCAAACATATTTGGAATAAGAGAGAAAAAAAATTAAAATACAGTATTTTTTATTCCATGTCAAATAGCTACTGGTAGAACAATGCCCTCTATTTATTTCTATAGAATATTTTAATAATTTTCATGCAGATCTTCACACACTGAGTATTCAATGTACCCTAAAATATTGCCAACACTAAATCATATATGCGTAGTTTTCGACTTACAACCACAACCGAGTCCAAAATTTCTGTTCCTAAGCAAGACAGTTAAGTGATTTTGAAACCTTTTTTTGCCACAGTTGTTAGGTGAATCTGGCTTCCTCCATTGACTTTGCTTGTCAGAAGCCAGCTCGGAAGGTTACAAATGGTGATCACATGACCCTGGGACAATGCAACTGTCATAAATAAATGCCAGGCATAGGAATGTTGATCATGTGACCCTTGGGGATGCTGCAATGGTTGTTAGTTTTAAAACTGATCATAAATCACTCTTTTCAATGCAGTTGTAACTTTGGATGGTCACTAAACAAATGATTGTAAGGCAAGGACTATCTGTAGGTTTTTTTAAAAAGGTTTAATGGAAGTCAGGGATCCTGTCAGCCTCTGTTTTGCTGTTTGCTTTTCGGCTGCCATTGAAACGGGGAGGGAGGGCACGGTATTTGGGTGTGGGAAATAATCTGTACAGGAGGATTGTTAATTGGGAGTTGTTCTCACCATCTACTGTGCATGTGGCAAGGAGAGGAGTTTCCCGCCAAGGCCAACTGTCCAGCAATCCAACCTGGATATGATTTTTTAAGGTGGCTCCCCCCCGGCAGCTTGGGGGATAAGGGATTGGACTGGGGTTATCAA